CTTGCACACGACTAACATAAGCTTACTAAATATAAATCACTTTATTTAAATAGAATGTGTTTAGACCATTAATTGCGTATACATACTGGTTTCAATTATTTTTATTAGCTTGGTTTTATCCAGAGCCGGGATGTGCGGAAGGTGTAATGGATAGCGGCTCGGAATGAGAAATCAGAGAGCTGAGTTCGAATTCCAGTCAGGTACCTCACATTTACTTACACGCATTTACTATTGAGAATGCTATGAATCTATCTCATCACTCCAGTTACGGATTAAATTGTAGGAATTGTATCTGGAAAAATGATTGTTAGTCTTAAACAATTGTTAGTTGATTCATCAGGAGTATTCCTGCCTAAATTCCCGCCTAGAACTGAGTCTCCGTTGAGGGATATGCATATAACCCCTTTCATGATTTCTGCTATCGTCCCTAATCTATATCCCCACAGAGCACGTGAACCCGATGGTATCCCTGTAATAGTCATTAAGAAGTGGGCTCCAGAACTGACTACCGTTCTCTCTAAACGGTATAATAAATGCTTCACTGCATTCTATCATCATCTGTTGTTCCAGTCTTTAAGAACTCAAGCAAACTGTCTGACCCTTCAAACTATCAGCCTATTAGCTTTCTACCTCTTAGGCCCTAATCAATGCTGAATTGGTTCATCATCTCTCATCGGAGGGCCTTTTTCCCAGACATGCAACACGGCCTTCGTTTCTCCAAATCAACTCTGATGTACTAGTGACAATTGCGGAAAGAGTCTATTATAATCTAGATAAATAAAAATAAAAAAACAACGGTAATGCCCGGGTTGTAGCATTAGACATCTCGAAAACATTTGACAGCATGCAGCAATAAACGACATCATCAGAAGAGGTTTGGATGCAGATGGGTTCCCTTCCCAAATCGAACCCGTAGGCCTCGACCGGATGGCATTACTATTTTCCCTTTTAAAATGGGGAAGTCGTTGATTTGGGATGCGACCTGTGCGGTCCGCGGTTGAGCCAGGGTCCGTCTCCTGGGACGCAGAGATAAAAAAAAATAGTTAAATATTCTTCTCTTGCTGATAGATTTTTTTTTTTTTACTCCTGTGGCAGTGGAGACTTCTGGGGTTATCGTTCCTCGTTCGATGGCGATGGAGGATTGGCGCGATTGCGTCTCAATTAAGGGACGAGCCTCGTGAAACGGAGTGGCTCTTGCAGCATGTCTCACTGGCGATGGTCCGAGGTAATACTTTCTCCATCATTGCGGCTGGCAGAAGATAGAAAAAAAATGTTTATAGTTATTTTGTTCAAACTTTTTTTTCAGAAAATAAATTTCTCTATATTTCATTTGACAGGTTCTGGCATTCAGGTCTTCTCCGAAAGCTGAAAAGCTTCAGTGCCTCCGGGCACTTTTTTTTATCTGATACAGTCTTTCCTATCAAATCATGAAATGAAAGTCATCTAGAACGGCAACTCGTCTAAATACTTACGCACTAATGCGGGTGTACGTCCAGGACTCTATCCTTGGTCCTACTCTGTTTTTAATTTTCATTAATGACTTTCTTGGTGACATAAGCTTTCAACATGGTATTTATGCTGATGACATAACCATTTATTCCTGCCTCGATAGTAAGGTTAATCACTCCGACAAAGTCAAAAATGGCAGTCGATGTCCACCTCAAATCCGTTGTTAACTGGGGCAAAAGATATCTTGTTCATTTTAATGCCTCCAAAACTAAACTTATCTCCATTATTCATCTGACATTAATTAGCATGACTGATGCTAACCCCCAGGAAAGTGACTCGTTACGCCTTCTCGACTCTTATGAAGTGGAAAGACTATATTGAATCTATTTCTAGGTCAGCTGCTAAGAAAGTTGGTTCACTTTGTCAGGCGAGACAATTTTTCTCTTCAGAATCTATGTTACATATCTAAAACTCTAACATTCGTCCTTGCTAAGAATATTGATGTCACATATGGTCCGGTGCCCCTGTTATTTACCTTGAGCTCTTTGATAAGATCCAAAGAAGAATCAGCATTATTATTGTTCCTGATCTGGCAGCTCGGCTTCAGTCACTTTGTCACAACTGTAAGGTTGCCTCTCTGTGTCTTTTCTATAAATAATTTCATGCTAACTGTTTGGATGCGCTTTTCGCTATGGTACCTAGACTTTTTGAATTTAAACGTAGTACTAGACTGGCATCAAGATCTCTTCAATTTACTGTTGAGCTGGCGAGACGTAGCCGTAAGTTCTATGCTAACAGTTTCTTTTCTCACATTTCTCGATTCTGGAACTCTCTTCCGGCTCTATGCTTTCCAGCTAAGTTTAATCTGCAAAAAAAATTAAATGCAATGTCAATCGCCATCTCCTGTCCTCCTGATTACTCATTTCTCTTTCTAGTCATCTATGTTTCTCTTCCTAATTCCCCCACACCTGTAACTCCTTGTGTCTTTGTGACTTTACTGCCTTGCTTGGGGTAATACCGATTAAAAAATTCATTCTCAAAAAATAAAAAAGAATCATTCTTTCAATCCAAAATATGTTTCTCTATAAATAATCCACCAAGGATTGATAAGCCGTAAAAAAAATCAATCAGTGAACGTTATCTATAGCCACAGCGTAATCGCACTCAGAAAAGATCGAATTCATTATATCCGCGGATTGATTAGAAAGACAAGTTTACTTACTAAATTATTATGTGCTACTAGTCCTCAAATATTCTTCATTCCCTTATTCTAATTTTTGTACCCAGATTACAAAAACGGAACTACCCTATCCAATTCCAATGAAATAAAGTCACTACACTAAATTCATTAATGTATTATGTTCTATATATTTTGTAATGAAATAGTAACTATTACAAGTTTGGACAGTAATAAAGAAGCAATTAACAATAAAACTAAGTGTGTACTTGTACTCAGTGGAAACGGGTGAGCAATGACTTAACAGTACTAAATAAAACAAGAACTAGACATGAGCAATGGAACGAGAAGTGTCTACCCTCATAGATTAAATAAAGTGTTCAGCTCAGAAGACCCTGTAGGTTACCCAGTCGATATACACCTGAGGAAGGTCGGAGGGCACGATAGCCGAAACCCCAGGATAACAACAAAGTCCAAATATAATGTAAATAAACTAATAAGAGTTGGCTTTTTGGAGGGTCACAGTGCATAGATTTGTTTTTGGCAGTGCAAGACGCAAGCCTAAGGCCACGTGAAAACAAACTTGGTATTTGTTGCATATTGTTGAAAACCTTTTGCTTTGCTTCGCGTACGCATTGGATCATTGCAAAAGATTGTGCCTGATTTTCCTTGTTTTTAATTTTCTATTCGAACTTTTGCAAGGATCTAATATGTGTTGGGAAATGGGAAAGGAACTTTCGTGGTCTTTTGTACCAGTTTTGGGTAAATATCACCTTTTGTATTAAACAAAATCAATTAATTTTTATATCATAGTTTTCTTCATTCATTCTTATTACAAATAGCAGAAAGATTTTGACAATAAAATTCGCTTCATGTTATCTATTTTTTAACTATAAGGTGTCTATTACATATAGAAAATTTCGGGGTATGCATAAAATGTCTTCATTACCGAACTCCAAACCCATCTTTACCCATATCTGGAAGACCGCTTTTATAGGCATCCGCTAATGAATTGAAAACTGAAAATCTACGCATCCTTATTTATATCGCAATTAATTATTCAACCATGGACTGAACATGTCAACAAAGAAGAAGTTTTAAATTTTTAATTTCTGGTTCACATGAGGAAGGACAGCTTGAAAAATTTAATACTCATAGAATGTATTTGGAGAAGGAGAAATAGATGGAAATATTGAACAACTTAGCTAACGATTTTGTGTGAATGGATGGCTGAAGCGACAAGGATTATAAAATGTTAAATTTTGCTTAGATCTACAGGGGACAGGAAGTTGTGGAGAGTCCTGATGAGACACAACAGATGAACGATGATGGTGTTTATGTAAACTAATTTTTAGAGAACCTACCAATAATTGAAACCGTCATAACTTGAACAACTCTACGATAACTATATTTTATCTTTATCAGGTTAATTAATAAACACTGTGTACTCGCATGCGTGTGTGTGTGTTATACTGATCAAGCTCCATCCATGCGTTTACGCCCATGATTTTTTTTTATAGCCAAATCAACTCAGAAGACAAATGATGAAAGTGATTAAAGAAAACAAAACGTGAACTCTGTTAACCGGAAACAAATAAAAACTGTAAATAAAAAAAGATAAAAATGACACTCATCAGTTATAACAATGCCCACTTTATCCCAACATTAAACAGACGAACGAAGTTTCATGTCGTCGTCGTGGGGGGAAAATCATACATCATAAAGAAAGAAAGAAAGAAAGAAAAAAGAAAGAAAGAAAGAAAGAAACTGAGTCCAAAAACATTTTCAAAATCTCCTCCTGCTTCATTATTCCATCCATCCTCGAAAAAAGATTTTTTTAGTCTCCCCCACCATTCTCCACCAGGAAACTTCGAACAAAAAAAGAATTAAATAAAATAAAGAAGCTCCTGAGGAGAGCAAAGAGTCAGTTCCTGAATGATACTTGATCGAGGAAGATCGTAATTATGCCTAAATTTGAATCATATTCAAACGTGTGCAATAAAGAGAATGCAAGATTTCCTCTTTGCACATCTGCAACAATGACACAATCCATAAAATTCACTAAACAAAGATAATATGTTATTGTGAAGCAATTTCAGGGCTCCCGGTGTGATTTTCCACGTGAGTTATTGGGAAATGGCTCTGCCTATTGTAGCTTGCCCCTAAACAACTTGAGCAGCAAAAATTTCTGTTGTTGTAAATATAATTTGATGAATCTTTTCCTTTGTATAGGGTAACTCTAATAAGGTGATTGTTTGAGAATTAGACTCTGACTAGTTGCCCACCATATTGTTTAACAACTTAGCTGCGTGTACGATAGTGCGCTTAGATATATGAGTGTGTACACGTTTGTGTATGTCTGTAAGACATTTTTATGCGTGTTCACGCTCGCGTGTATGCGCATGCGTAATGGATGTAGCTTGCAATAAAAAAAATCGACATTTTTATTCAGATAACACAGAAGAAAATAACAATGATAATTTGGCCCTTTTCACAGTTTAACGTTTACCGCGATATTCATAAACTGTTTTAATAAAAGGCGTTTTCTGTAATTTTCTATTTCTCTCGTTATCTCTCACATTCTCCCCCACTCTTTCCTTTTTTTTTTTATTCTTTTTCACTTTATAAGGTGTTTACCTCGCTTCTCCCTATCTATTTTTCTTCCCCGTTCTATTTCTCCATTTTCTTCCGTTGACTCTATGTCTTCTTTCTTAATATTTTTTTCGTTCTTTACCAATTTTTCACTTTTCTTGTTCTTCTCTCTCCCATTCTATTTTTTTTTTATCTTTTTGCTCTCTCTCTCTCTCTCTCTCTCTCTCTCTCTCTCATTCTCTCTCTCATTCTCTCCCTCCCACCCTTTGCCTTTTCTTCTTTATTCTCTCTCTCATCTTTCCTCTCTCTCGTTTATTTCTGTTCTCCGCACACCCTCTTCTTTATTTTTCTCATTCTCTTTTTTTCTATTACCTTTATCTTTTTATTTCACTCTCATTGATATTTTTCCCCCTCTGGCTTTCAATTTCACTCTGGTTTTATTCTTTCCTTGCACTGCAATTTGTTTTTTCTTCCGTATTCCTCCTCCTCTCCTTCTTTTATTCTATTACTTTTCTCTTTTTCTTCCAGTAAAAAAACACTTACATATTCTCTCTATATTTTTCCTTCTTTTTCACTCTTTCTCTCTCCTCATTCTTCCGTTGTCTCTCTTTACCGTTCTTCTCTCACTTTTCCATTTTTTTCTCATTTCTCTCTCTTTTTTTTTCTATACAATTTTTTTATTTTTTACATTTTCTTCCCCCCTTTCTTTCTCTCTTCATCCCTCCCTCCCTGTACGTACTTGTCTTTTTTCCGTTTTCATTCTTTTTTTTTTTTTTTTTTTTTCAAATACATTCACTCACGGACACCTCATCAGGCGTAAGCGCTAATATCTTTTTAAGGAGATGGTATTACTAAAATAGAAATAATTAGATAATCATTTCGTTGTGTGTAGTTGAAGTAAAAACCCATTAAATGCTCGGCCGCCTGAAATCTCATTCTCTTATTCTTATAAACATTCCGTGACCTGATCGGATTTCTCTCTCTCCTCCTACTATTTCTGTCTGATTACAAAGATTATATATATATATATATATATATATATATATATATATATATATATATATATAGTTGCAGTATATATATATTATCTATCATATTACATATATAATATCTATTATATATATATATATATATATATATATATATATATATATATATATATATATATATATATATATATATATATAAATATATATAAATATATATATATATATATATATATATATATATATATATATATATATATATATATATATATATATATATATATATATATATATATATATATATATATATATAATATAAAAATCAGGATTCCAAAGAATACCAGAATATAGACAAAGTATTCTTGCCTACCGTACAAACACCACATTGATTGTTGAAAATGAATGAGGCGGTCGAAAGTACTTGAACAAACAACAACACAAAAATTAATCTCGGACAGTTTATCCACAATTTCAATCCCAATACACAACTTCTTTTGAAAGTTTCAAAAATACAATAAAAATTAATCACACAAAGCTTTTCGATTCTTTTTAATCACATTTGGTTGTGTGTATATATATATATCTTCAAACGTTATCATAGTGGATAACCGTATTTTAAATAGACGTCCCAATTTTACATTTTAAACGGTGTGTATTGCGTCTATCGGCCTGTTCATACAAGAAATCTAAAATACTAGTATGCACTACAATAACGCTTGAAATAATAAAATATCCTCTTCTTTAATTATATATATATATATATATATATATATATATATATATATATATATATATATATATATATATATATAGTTTATACGTTATTTTTATAGATACAGACATTAAGTAAATGCTCTGTTTATAATAAACAGTATTAACAACATTTATCGGCCTTACCATTTAGCTACAGAGAAAGCGTCTGGTTAACGAGGTCGAATTACTGCTTTACGGCCTGAATGCTTGAGAAATTTCGTAGAAAATATGTATCCTCCGACAGGAATCGAACCTGTATCCTCCACGGAGCAGTCATTTGACCTGACATTCAGGCCGGTAAATGTAATTAATACTGTTTATTATAAACAGATCCTTTACTTAAATAATTTTTTTATAAAAATAACACATAAACAGAAAATATATTAAAATGATTGTCGGACTTATTCCATGTCATTTTTTATTATATATATATATATATATATATATATATATATATATATATATATATATGTGTGTTGGACATTTTTTTATAATGTGACATTTTTAATTTTTGCGTTGTCTGTTTTATAGACAGAGAGAGAGTGAGATGTATTGGGATCCGACAGAATGATAGGATAAGGAATAAATAGGAAACGTTTATGAATTTTACATATTTCGCTTTAAAGCTTCATCAAAGGATGTGGAGGAGTAAATAAAAATTCTGCTATTTTTAATTCTGCTTTTTTTTTTTTTTTTTTTTTTGGTTTAACGAACTTCGCGTGAATTAGTCTTGTCAGTCAGCGTTTGTACATATAATTCATGTGTGTATGTGTATATTAATTCTAGTTTGTCTATAACGAATTGGTTATTTCTGTTCAGCTTTCTATGGCATTTCGTCAGTTTTCTTACACTACATCTCTTCCACCAGGATTCACTTTGAACTGAAATTTGTACACGCCCGTCCACGCTTCATTGTTTGAAGACACCTCGACTTCTCTAATCTATTTTATGATGGACCATTATAAAAATTAACGATATTTGTCATTACTTGTAATATATAACAGAGTTCTATGCAATATTACCTCCTGATATTTTTCTTACTCAGCAAAGACCTATGTAATTTTAATTAATCCTTTTTTTTCTCTTTCTTGTAATTATCAATGCTATATAAAAAAAAGCGGGTTTTTTTCTCAATTGCAAGTGGGGAAAAATAACCATTCTGTAAACAAAAATAACGGAAATATGTATTCACAAAAACATTAACCATTTCTCTTGCAAAAGATGTCCATTTGACACTTGTTCTATATTCAAAACAATTATAAATTCCCTATCTATCTACATGTAAACATAAATGGGTGTGCTTTTCATTCTATAATTACTCGTTCTCGTCTATAAATCACAGTCAACTCATACGAACTGCAACAGAAAACGTCTCTAGAAGCCTAAAGGAGCCCGTTCCTCTTCAAATTGATATTTACTTCTGCTAAAGACTAAAGAACCCAGTCATTCCTATTATTTATAGAGGCTTGAATTTAGAGTTTATTTTCACTTAGTCTGCTTGTGATGCAAACAAATATCGCCCTGTTTGTCATGCTATTCCGCCCATATCTGGATGAAAATAGATTTATGCCTTTTCCAATAGCAACATTGAGTTTACTTTATGCGCCGATAATCTATCCGCTACCCGCATATCCGTAAGTCGAATAATAACTGGTTTAAGAAATATATATAAAAAAATATTGTAGATATAGATTCTAAGATAACATCTTCTTAATGATAAAACCTGGGGAAAAAACAAAATAAACAAGCACTTGATGTACTGGATCTAGCAATGGGTGAAAAAATTGTCATTAGGTAATAATAATGTTAAATTCTCTAATGAGATTGCCTTCTCCGAAAACAATCTATTTATTATATATTCTTTTCTGATGCGAACATTACATTAAATATATTCTTGTAGATCTCATTAACTGAAGCTTGGTCTATATTTTTTCTTTGATGAATATAGCTTACCTAAATCACACATCATTCGAACGAGCCCACCTATACATTAGTCTCTCTTTCCTATTCTTCAAATTTGACCTTAGTCAAACCTTCTCGTTTACTTTCATCCACCTGTCTCAGAGATATTCAGCTTTGCATCTTCAATGTTCATAGATCTTCTCTAAGCATTATTTTGTTTTATTACTTTTGATAGTGATTTTTTTAGAAACGTTTTTTAGAGAGAGACGCATTCTACCACATAACTTTTTATAAGCCAGGATGTATGCAATTAGTTGTCATCTCCGTCGGATAAGCACAGCAGTATCCTGCATGCACACCGAAGACGTTCGGGCGATTTTCTACCGTGGTGCCATATCAATCCTAAT